AATGACTAGGCCAAGCACATTCCAAATTCACGTGTAATACGACGAAAATGTGATTTTGATCCTGTTTGGAAAGCCATATTTAATTGGATGGTATAATTGGCTGAAATTATATATACTATCTTGGACTAATATTTTTTTCAAAAAATAATTATTTGGTGGAGAGGTTACGTTCTTCAATTTCAAAGGGAAGTGCGGATTGCTGATAACAATATATGGTTTATTTTCTTCTTTGGATGTATTATTCTTTTTTACATTCTTTCTCTTTTATTTCAAATGTATGAAGAACACTTGTTTAAATAATTTCGTATTTTACTATCCATGCTTAATTTCCTATTTATTAATATGAATCATTATTATAGGAAAATATATATACTTACTAAACCCATATCTATCTTCTTGTAACAACAAGTCCTTTCGTAATCTCATATACGTTGCTTTTCTAACATATAATATTTTGTCTATTTTTTATTGGCAAAAAATCAGTTGAAAAAATAAAAGGTTCAAGAACGAACTCTTCTTAGTTTTTCTTATTTGTAGGTGACAGAACCTTGAATCATTTAATTGACCAAGTATGCATAAGATTGAGTCATTTTATTGACTAAAAACAATCTTTTTTCTAAACGATACCAGACTCTAAGATACTGGAGAATGACATGACTTTATAACAAAAATTTGGAAACGGCCAATGTGACACTAGCCGTCCAAGACAAGTCAAGAGGAAATGACTGTTTAGTGTTGTTTGATATGCAATTAAATCTGTTGAGATTTTTTCTTATTAGACCAAAAAGAATGAATAATTACTAACTTGAATACTATTGATTTGAGTATTATCTCATTTTGGTGTGTCTCACTAATTTTTTTCAATTTGAAATGATTGAACCTGCATGAACTAATCTACTATAAATTGAAATAAGAAAAAAGAATTAACATATTGATCTCGATGGCTTTTTGAAACTTGCACATTAATTACCTCTTTAATTTGTAGTGTAGGAATAGACTCCGAACCAAAGGCGGACAAATGAGGAGTCATCGGCACCCGTAAAGTTTGATAAAAATTCGATATATACATGTACATGTCGTTAAAAAAATAATATATTAGCAATGATACCCTATATACAAAGCAAATTTTGGTTGAATGTAAATGTGCACCCGTGTGCTACTTCTAAATACTGGATCCGGCTCTGCTCCGAGCTCCTTTTTCTTCTACGTATATATAGGTTGTCCAACTACTAATAGTAATAGGTCATTCTCTTGAAGATTCAGTATGATAGTGATTTTGCAGAACCTACAAGAATTGCTACTAAAGTCTTCTATATTTAGAAAAATTAAAGCACATATCATATCAAGGAAGCATTATTTGACTTCTACATCAAGCTTGAAGTATTGGAGTTCACATCTGTTTAGATGCTGGAGTTCGTTTAAGGGGAAAAGATACCTCTGTATAGTATTTGAATAATTGAAATTGATGAACAGAGTAACGTAATGTATGATTACTATATTCTTATTGATATTTAGAGGCGGACCCAGGATTTGAAAGTGGCGGGGGCGAATATTGCAGATATGTCAGAAGGATAATATACAGCTGTATTCTATTTTGTAAACTAGGGAACAGTTTTCTGAGAAGGAGTACTAACATAAGGAGAAAGTTAAAGGCCAAAGTTTATTCAAAACGTGAAGGAACATCTTGTAGAAAGCTGTCATGCAATGTTAACAGATACAATGGGGAATGTAAGCAAGTGAACCATCACCATCATCAAGTTCTCAGATTTATTTGTCACCACAATAGTCTTGATTCCAATTGCGTTGTTCCTCAACCAGTGTCCCGCATAAAAAATGGGTTGTTTTCCGTCTCTAGTCATAACACGATATAGTGACAGTTACATTTAGAATTCAAGCTTGACGAAGTGAGCTGATAACTAATGAATTCGCACTTCAGTTAGATATTCTACATCCAGTTTGCAAAGATGCAGGTACCCCATTCATGATAGATTATCAGTCTTGAGGCATGTGATTTGACAAAAACGAGAAGTTATTTTAGAAATTATGTCCAAGTAAATTCTGGAATATTAGCAGCAGTAGTATGTACATTTAAGAAGAGAGAGTTACTCATACCAAGACTAACCTTGCATCAACGATAAAAGAGTGCTACTTCATCTTTTGCCAGCTCCTTTCCAGTCATGTTGTCGCTTCTACCTAAACAGAACAAGCCACTGCTTCTAAAACCCAGCAGAATCTAACTCCATAAACTGCAAATCGCCTAATTTTGCAACCTCTTAGTCTTCTCCTGTAACATGCTCAGTAGAGTTTTGTATACACAGACAAATCAAATAATAGTTACATGACACATATCAAACGGAGTGTTCCGTTGCACTAGAAATAGACGTGTTTTGAAAAATGAAATTGGAATCTCCTTGCTGCTGATTTCCTTACATTAGGACGTCCTACAATCACAACAGTAGAAGCTCGACAATACAAATCAACATTTTAATGGGACGTTTGTCTTTTAGCCCATCAGCACAACTAGGAATGGCAGATTTAACGTTAGAAAACAAATACCTATCAGCATCTGAAGCCACAAAATCAAAATCAGATAACTCATCTTGCAAATCTTGCGCCGAAAAAGTCCAGAGTTTTCAACATAAATATCCATTGCCATTGGCAATAATTTTATCCTGAAAGTGCAGTTCCACCACCAGTGTTGATCAAACTACTTGATGAGCAGAATTTAAGGGATTGAGGGGAAGAACAATCCATGAAGGAATTCGGTCAAAGTGGATAGAGGGTAAAGAAGAGGATAAATTAGAGAAACAAAGAGAGGAAGCCTCCCATTCACAATTCACAGTGACTTCTCATCACATATGTAGTGAAGCTATTTGCAACTAAACCTAAAATAGGGAATCACTAACAGAAGTAACCGAATATGGGACAAATAACCATCCAACTGAAATACCCAACTGCTTAAACCGTTGTATTTACCAGCACAACAAAAGTGATACTATCAAATGAGTACCAACTGTTCTAACTACTACTACTACTACTACAAAGCCTCAAGCCAAATCCAAGTTGTGGTGACAAAACCAGAACTTTTGAGACCATTCTCACTACTAATAGCGCAGAGAAGTGATCGAGTAATCTGAATCAATTATGGGATCTTGAAGCTGAATCGAACCAATGGCAGGTTCTGTGAAGTGGTTGTTTTAGAAAGTATATGTGAGTTCAGAGCAGTGAAACAAGTTTATAAAAAGAGATCAGAATCAATGAAAACTGCACTATTGTTTCCTTTAATAATAAACATACTACTCATTCTTCTCTGTTCTTGAGTAGTTTACACCAACTACCATTGCTAAGATGATGAGATGGTCAAAATTCGAAAACGCCTTTTTGTTTATTGGCTTTCATTTGATATTTACAGTCTTTAATTTGGAGAGAAAAGAAGTCAAACCAACTAGAACATGAGCTCTTAGGAAAACATAGAAATGGTGAAACCATGCGAGAAAATAAAGAGTAATTTTACTACATGACAATTAGCGATTAAAAAGCTATTCAGCTATTTCCATGTTGGAGTTGTCCCGTATAACCAATCGCGTTTTAATTCAATTTTTACTCGAGAGCTTCTTTCTTCTTTCTCTTTGGCTCATCTTTTTCATCGATCAATCAATCAACTACAAGCTAAAAGAAAAAAAAAATCAGTCAGTATCATTCCTCCGAGTAGGACAAAGAGAAAGGAGACAAGACTCACATTCCCCTACTTTGTCAATCAAAGTCTCATTTAATCTATTCTTGAAAGTGTATGAATAGAAGACCATTTTCTAGAATGTCTTGTATTCAGGCCTCCATTGGCCTTCGGGGGTACTCCATTCGCCCACATGCTCAGCTGAACCAAGCCACACAGGCCTTAAAAGACAAACAAGCAGATTCTCGGATTGAAGAAGCAGTGACTGTCATTGATGAAGTCCAGCATCAGGAGCCTACATTCTCAAATTAGTTGGAATCATCGGTTAAATGAACATTTCGAAACCACTCAAAGGATTTTATCATAATTAAACTACTTTTATGTTTGCCATCAACTACAATAACCAAACCGTCTTGGAACTGACTATACTTGATACAATAATGAAAGCTTTGTCTTGCTTTAACCGAAAATGACTATTCTTTTTAAAGAAAAGAGAAAAAACGATGCTACTTCATTTGGAATAATGGTGCAATTGCAACCGAGACACAACCCAACGAATTTCACCCTCCGTACTTTTCACTTTAAAAAAGTGAAAAATATAAACTACTCCACTTTTGATTACAAAACAAGGACATCCAAATTGGATAACGAAGACTAAAAAGTACTATAAGCAAAGAAGCCATTCGTGTTATTTCTATCCCAGTCCAACTTTTATTGACAACAACAATGTTAGCAATAATAACATCGAATTTTCACAGAAGGTGCGGATGTCGACCTTATCCTTACCCTTACTCCTATGATAGCAACAACAACAAATCAAGTAAATTTACACAAATAAAATTTAGAGAGAGTAATATGTATATAGACTTGCTCTAGAATATTAAAACACTGTTAGGATAGACCCTCTGCTTAACAAATGTCAAAATCAAAACTCACAAATCACAACTATCATTCTATTCTAACACCTCTTCCTCAGAACAAGAAGAAAAAGAAGATAGAGAAACCTTTTCGTTCTCCAAGGCAAAATCTTCGGCCCAACCAATAAAAAATTCTCAAGTAGTAGGCTATAATTTTTAACAAGAAAGAAAAAGGCATTTCGCATCAGATTTCTGAATTCTCATCTCTCCCAACAAGAAAAGAAACCCCTATAGATCTAATAAGTTTTCACCAAAAAATAAAAATTTTAAAACCAAAAAATATACTACAGTATATACTACGTATTTATTTTACTAAAATAGCGCTTACCCTCAAAAAAAAAAAAAAAAAAAAAAAAAAAAAAAAAAAAAAAAAAAAAGAGGCAGCTGCTAAAACCCTCTCCCCCACCACCCTGCACTTTCCTTTTTCTTCCCGCTGTTTCCTCTCTTTCTTCTCTCTCTCTTTATATCCATTTCTTACAATTTTTCTTATTACTTCTTACAATTTCTCATAAAAAATTAAACTTTTATTTATCTTCTTCATTTTTACAGCACATAGCAAGCCAATTTTAAATTTTGGGCAAACATGAAGAGGAAACCCTAGCTCTTAGCACAAAACCCTAATTCCCTTCTACCCAATTCTTGGTTTTTCCAAAGACTCAATTTTTTGCTTGTGGGTTTGTTGAAAATTGCGTGGAGAAAAGGATAATATGGAAAATCCGGTACCTAGGACTGTAGAAGAAGTATTCAACGATTTCAAAGGTCGTAGAGCTGGTTTAATTAAAGCACTTACCGTAGGTTTGTAAATTTGTTTCCTTTTTTTTTTTCTCATGCGCTTTTATGTGTTTTTGAGCATAAGCACTTTCTGGGTGTTTCTGAATTTTGTTGGTTTTGCTAATTATGATTTTTTGCTTTTTTTAATTAATTATTGCAGATGTTGAGAAGTTTTATCAGCAGTGTGATCCTGGTGAGTTTTCGTTTCTCAGTGTTTGATTGGATTGTTGTGGTCCATCTATATGTGTACATTTGGTTCTTTTTGGATAATTGAGCTTGAGTTGTATTTCTGAATGCAGTAGCTTTTAATTTCTGGAATTGTTTTCTTTGTATTTCTAATTCTTATAAATTTCTGTTGTTTCATGTTCCTACTTTATTTTAAATCGTCTTCGTCCATAGAGTGATTAAGCCACTTGATTAGGACCTTTTGACTGTTAATATATCAGATTTTCATAAATTTGCTTCTTGTAGTGTTACTGTATCAGTTCTGTAATTTTTAATGTTGCTGCCCCGTAGGGTGGTCTAAAACACGTTGTTAGAGCTTTCTGTCTGTTTGCATCATTTTGGCATTTGATGTGTTCTTTGGCTGTTATGCAGGAATGGAAAGATCAAATCTTTAACGAGTAGTTAATTGTCGTCTTCATTTGAAAGAGTAATTCTTCTGCATTTATGACAAAAGTGTCATGATCTTAAACTGTATTCCAAAATAAGTTGTAACAATGAGATCATTACTTAGAATGTTATGTCGTTTAGCGAGAGTTTCAATGTCAGAAGTGTTTTCGTTATAATGTTGATGACTGTTATCAAATCTCAAGGAAGAAGAGCTGTAAAACTTCTTTTATGTGGCAGTGATCATCATTTCTCTATCACATTGATATAAAAGTCTAATAACCGTTAATCTTGTTTACTATGGGTGAATAGGCCTGTTTCGGTGTCTGTTGCATTAAAAAAAATGTCAGATTTTTTCTGATTGTATCAACTGGTATACTTATGAGGATAGAAAAATATGATTGCAGTGTTGAAAGCACTTTGATGTAGATGCATTTGGTGTATAGTTACTTAAGGTGTCTTGAGGCAGTTTAATTAAAATGGTTGAAGTTTGTGGTAGTGTGTGATGATAGTATATTCTCACCTTGTGATTAATAAATGTTCTCGTCTTCTATTTTTCCCTCTCTGGACAAGTTCTTTTTTTTAGGTTTTTTCTTTGGGGGGGTTGAGGAGGTGAGAGTTCTGTTATTTGGAAAACCTTATTTTGCATGTTGCCAGGATTAGAGGTGCTTTTTTGTGCCATAATTCATGAATTGTTTTTGAAATATTTGATATAATAGTGAAACATAATGTAGCTTTGTCCCGGATGTTTGACTTCTTTCTTTGATGCAGTGTCTAACTTGTTTATATCTATTATAGTGTCTGTAAATAACTCTATTTGAAGAACTCGTTCAAATTCTTTATTTCGTTGCTGTTATTTATTTTTTTCCCATTAACAGAAATTCTGATTATGACCTTCATCACAAAGTATATCAATCGGCTACTATATCAAACAGTTGTGTCAGTCTTTATGACAGTGTATTTATTTAAGGGCTTCGTGGAATTGCNTTTTGAGCTTGTTGGGTGTTTCCCTCATTGGGTGTTGTTCAATTGTTGGTTTATTTAGACTACTTATGCAGATCATTTATGTCTTTATGAAGTGTTTATAACCTTTTCTGAACTTAACACATGTTTTTACTTTCAGAAAAGGAGAACTTGTGTCTCTATGGGCTTCCTAGTGAGACGTGGGAAGTAAACCTCCCTGTGGAAGAGGTGCCTCCAGAACTTCCGGAGCCAGCATTAGGCATAAATTTTGCACGTGATGGAATGCAAGAGAAAGACTGGTTATCACTTGTTGCTGTTCACAGTGATTCATGGTTGCTTTCTGTTGCGTTCTACTTTGGTGCACGGTTTGGGTTCGGCAAGAGTGAAAGGTATTATAATGTCTGTTACCTTTAGATTTCACCATCTTCTTTTACTGTTTTTCCACCTTGCTCCTATCTGTTGTATTTCATTTGCATATTTATGTTTATCTTGTTTGATGAAGACATTGGGGGCTGGGGCTACCTTTTGGCAAATGTAAATAAGTGTTGTGCCATGTGCTGGCGTCCTAATAAATTGTGTGGATTTTCTGTGCTCCCTTCTAAACTCTGTCATTGCAGTGTCTATCGGGTAGTCTTTGCTTGTCTACAACACTTTTTATCTTTTCGGGGGTGGCTGTGGTGGCATAAGTTGAGCTACTTCTTTCACATACTAATTTCCGTCATGCTGCTTAAAACTCACCTCCATAAGCAATTGGTGCATCCAGAACTTGTGTGCTCCGCTGACCGATTTCAGGGAGAAAAGCTTAAATGCTTGCTGTCCGTTTTTTCTTTTTTTTTTTTTTTTGTTTCATAGGTGAGACATCATTGTTCCATGAAAAATCACAGAAGAAATTTAATCAAGAATCATGTTATGGAAGTCTCTTTTTTCCCTTTTCTAACCCAGACAGTTGGAGCTCCCTTTTCTACCCTTCAATCGCTGATGAAGAAATTGGTATATATATTCCTTTTTATTGTCCTCTCGCTTACCACATAGTGTTTGACCTGTTTGCTGTATCTCACTGAGGTTGACCCAACAGTCAACTGACCAATGAACTAGGCCTTATCCCAAACAAATTATGTCTGCTTCATTTTATCCGCTTTGCACTCTCCAAGATTCAGTATTTGGAATTCATCATAGTTAGACGATCTTACGCTTGCCATTTATCTACCACAACCCTTCTCCTTTATTGGCATAGGGCCAGCCATGCTTTGCAAGTCTCACATAGACAGAGTTGTGGTCAATTGATGGTATTGAGTTTAAAAATATTTTTTTCATGTTAAATATATTCTCACAAAAGCACCAAGAAGGTGCAAAACTGCAAATATATTGAGTTTAAAACAGTAACCCTCTAAAGTATAAGTCTTAGCTGTAATTACTAACCAAGTTAGAAACTCTAGGATGAAGAATTACTGTCAGTTAGATTATTTGGCCAATATAGGAATCCACCTTTAACCAAAGTTGACGGTGTTTTATATTCTCTCCATCATGAAAAGAATTGTTTTTCTTTGTCTTGGTGGGCACATTGATGACTTGTTGCAATGATATTCTTGGTGTGATGAGATTTCAAACATCTTCCATTTTTAGGTTATGGTTATAGAATTTCTTTACAATTTCCTTATTTTAAAAAGGGAATGATTAAAGATTTGCAATGCTCTTGGTCCTTTCTCTATTCTGGGGAAGGTTATTAGGTGCTAGTTTTTAGATAAAAGCAAATTCATTCACTTAGTTGCATTGGTTTGTGGCATCATTGGTTAAGATAGTGTTTGGTTAATGAAACTAAGGATGCCTGACATGTTGAGATGTTTACCTTCTGCTGGTGTTTTTGGATGTTCATCGAATAAAATAGTGCTCAGTGGGGTGAACCGAAGGAGGTCTGACATCTTGAGAGGTTCACCATCAGCTATTAATACTGGCTGTAGCATCATTGGATAAGTTAGTGATTACTTGAGTTACCGAAGGATGTCTAACATGTCAGGATGGCACAAGTGCTGTATAACACTTGGAGCAACTTTTTGTGTAGCATCCCCCCCTCCCCCCTTTCTTTTCTTTTCTACTCTTTATTCGTGTAGGTTAGAGGATCTCTTGGAACACAAAACTATGACAGAAATCCTTATAAGCTGGATTTTATACTGGGAAACTGGTTGGATCGCGTGGGGTTCCATAATCATGTGTTCTATGTCCATAAATGTTAACTTGAATTTGGTTTATATTTGTCAAGTGCCATAGTTTGCCTAGCTAGTCCAATCTCATAGATGTGGCTTCCATTGGTTAAATGGTTATCTGATATTAATTTAGAGAGGATAATTGTTTTATTCTGGAAATTATGTATACAGGAAGAGGCTTTTCCAAATGATAAATGATCTGCCAACAGTATTTGAGGTTGTAACCGGAGCTGCTAAGCAGGCACATGATGCCGCTCACAATAATAGCAGCAAAAGCAAATCAAGTGGAAAGGTTCTCATATACATGACCTAACATGTATAATTATATTTTTATTCCTCTCATAAATGATTTTTGCTATCATCTTTGGTTTGCAGTCTCGACAGCCAGACCCCCAGCCCAAGGCAGTAAAGATATCTCCACCTAAAATGGAGGATGAAAGTGGGGAGGAGGAAGAAGAAGAAGATGATGAACAAGGGGCAACTCTCTGTGGAGCTTGTGGTGATAATTACGCCACTGATGAATTCTGGATTTGCTGTGATATTTGCGAGAGATGGTTCCATGGCAAATGTGTGAAGATTACTCCAGCAAAAGCTGAACACATCAAGCAGTATAAGTGTCCTAGTTGCAGTAGCAAGAGAGCTAGAGTTTAAATTGTGGTAACTTTAAAGAGCAGCATCAATCAAGTTGTGATGTTGGAAGGTCTAGAACTTTTAGCTCAGTTATTTAAGTGTCATCTGTATCAAAGTTGAATGTTTGCTGATCGGATGTCCCTTTCATAAATATTTTCTGTCTGTTTATCTTGCTTTTGGATTGCGTTTTAGATAATTACATTTGTGCCTGTTACCATCTTGTGTTTGAGGGTATATTTTCATCTTTTTCTTTTACTATAATGGCTTATCTAAATACCAGGCTGCGGTAGTATGAGAAATTTAGAAACTTTTGAGAATCTTAATTTTAATAGGGGAACAGCAACCTCCTTAAACTTGTTATTATGTGAAACTGAAATGAATTCAATTGCTGGTGGAACAAAAACAATCTAACAATCACCGCCCTATAACTTGTCCAATTCATAATAGAATCAGAGCAAGCAATAACCTCTGGCTGAACCATTTCTCTATGGTCAACTGTGATGTCCAAGTGTGTTTCTATCCACACAACATAAAGATTGTTGGTAGAACAAAGTAGCCAGCCAAACAGAGCCTAACTATTTTCCTGTAACTAGGAAATATGCTTATGTGCGAGCCGAACATCAGATATTGTAGTTTGGTACACAGAATGGCATGACTACCAATAGTCTTTACAAGAACACTGCCCTTTACTGAAGCAGTGGAATCGATTATTATCCCTTACAATAATCTCTCTCCCCTCCAACTTTGAAATGATTTTGATTGCTGTGTGGCAATCCCTACATATCCTGAGGTTCTTCACCACCCTTATGACCGAACATGGTTCAGTAACAAGAAGTGCAAAAGCCACAGCCAACTTCTCGCTATGGGTCCCTACCATCTCCTCCATCTCTTCTTCTTCAACGTCTTTTAAAACACAGCTCTTATCAGCCATGTATCCAGCTAGCCTCATCTTCTTTTTTGTTTCAGCCAGCACTCTATAAATATCTTCTGATTGCACGTGTGACCTATCACCCACTATAAACTTGTGCATCTCACCCTCGTGTTCAATCCAACTCCATCCAGTTGTCTTCATTACTCCTCCAATTTTCATCAACCCTCTCACCCGATCTACATCTTCCCATCTTCTTGCTGAGGCATATATGTTCGAAAGCAAAACATAATTACCTGAATTTTCTGGTTCTATTTCAAAGAGCTTTTTAGCAGCAAATTCTCCAAGGTCTATCCTTTTGTGAACTCGACTAGCATGTAAAAGGGACCCATATACACCTGCATGTGGACGAGTTGGCATACTTTTTATCAAACATTTTGCTTCGTCTAGTTTACCATTTCTACCTAATAAATCAACCATGCACGCATAATGATCAGAGTCTGGATCTTTGATTGAGTTAAATATCCTTCGACCTTCTTCTAGCAGTCCACCATGACTGCAAGCTGTTAGTACCCCAATATATGTTATTCGATCTGGTTCAATATTTCCTTTCTTCATCTTGCACAACAGATCAACAACCTCAATCCCATTGCCATAAGCTGCAAAACCTGTAATCAATGTGTTATAGGAAACTACATCTCTGGTTTCCATTGATTGAAATACTTTCTTCGCATCTTTCATACTTCCACACTTGGAGTACATGAAAATTAGAGCATTGTACCCTGAAATGCTCAACTTGATTTGATGCTTTTCCAGGAAATTCACTGCCCAATTGCCAAATTCTAAAGCCCCAAGGTGACCGCAGGCAGAGATCACACTAACCATGGTGACTTCATCTGGCAGCATATCTTTTTCTATCATATCTTTGAAAAGGTCAATAGCCACTTTTGATTGCCCATTTTGAGCATAACCAGCTATAATTGAATTCCAAGAGATGACATTCTTCTCAGGCATCGTATCAAAGAGTTCTCTTGCAGAAGCCAAATCACCAACTCTTGCATACGCCGAAATCATTGCATTCCATGTAACTAAGTTCTTATATGTACCTAATTCATCAAAGATCTTCCTAGCCATGGCAAGGTTCCCACACTTAGCATACATGTCAAGTAGCGCAGTCTTTGCAAAACAATTTAAGCGAACACCCTTCTCATTTATCATCTTGACAAGGGCCTCGGCGAGGCTAGCATCACCAAGCGAAGAATAAGAAGAGATGACAGTAACCCATGTAGTTTCATCAGGGCGAACCCCACAACTCACCATCTCATTAAACAACCTTATAACTTCTTCAACTGACCCATTTTGAGCATACCCCGTCAGCATTGCATTCCACGACACAACATTTCTCTCCGGCATTTGATTGAAGTACCTTCGAGCGTTCTCCAAATCTTTCCTCCTCGAATACCCAGTAACCATTGCAGTCCAAGTAACCACATTCTTCTCAGGCATCAAATCAAACAAACTCCTCGCTTCAGCCTCATTCCCCCAATTCCAATACCCCGAAATCATAGCATTCCAATCCGCAACAGCTCTCTCGGTCATTTCATCAAACAGTTCCCGAGCAATCTCCAAAGGCCCAAATTTTCCATACATATCCATAATCGCGTTGCGAGTGAACCTATCCCACTCATGACCCAATTTAATACAATTAGCATGGAACACAACGCCGCATTTTCCAGCTGCTTTGATGAGAATGGGATATACAAACGCATCAGGGGTTACATTGTATTTCTGCATTTTGTCAAACAGATAGAGTACCTCAGCGTGGGCACCCAATTGGGAGTAGAACTTGAGAATGTTGGTGAAAACGAAGACATTGGGTTGGTCGACCGAGTCGAAAACTCGGCGAACGTATGTGGGTGGAGCGTGGAGGCGCGTGCAGAGATTGATGAGCTGCGCCACCCAGTAGTTGTCGGGGTAAAGGGAGTTTTGAAAGAGCTGTGCATGAAGCTGTTTCAAGTGGTTTAGTTTGGTCGCTTTTAGTGCTGCCGTGTTCAAGTGTGACATTACATTACATTGTTTCGGTGCCAACGTTGGACTTTTTTTATTGTCAACCAACTTAACTGTTCCCTACAACTAGTATGCAGTTAAGGTCTTTCTTTTCATTCAAGTAGTTATATTAGCATTTTTATATTCTTAAAAGTCTATTACTATATGATGTTGCCTATGTTTTGGTTGCTCTACTATCTTATTGTTATTAGTGTTTTCCTGACTTGTACACTATGCATATCTTCTCTACAATGTTATGATATTGTATACTTGTGTTAATTTGAGTACCTTTATAGATTACTAAAGAACTTGGTTCGTTACCTTACTTCTTAAGTATAAGTAAAATAAACAGTAAAGTAAACGCATCAATTTTCACCCGACTCAAAAGCTGCAAAAACTACGACCTACCACGTAGGATTTTAGCTTCAATTTCACTAAAACAATGAGCCAAATGTATCGATTACAAACCTGTGACTTAATATTCTCCAGTTCTCCTACTTCAACTATTTGACTTACAAGTTACTCTAACTTGCAAAACCTAACAATTACTCCAATTCACTGATTATATATGACACTTTGATTACAACTTGATTTCCTAAAACACATTTACTAAACTGACTCAAGAAGAACACAAACACTAGTAATCAACTTGAGTATAGAAAATGTAGTTCTTCTGTTAATGTGTACAAGGATAATCTCAGCAGTACAAAAAGATAGTAGTATTTAAACTCCCTGGACTCCGAGATCTTTTAGGAATCCTATGCACATTCAGCTTCTCGTTTGATCGGACTCCTACTGCTCCAATGACTCCACAAATCTTGGGACTCTTGTCTCTCACCTATGCAAGCATATCTTCTTAGACAACAACCTTATCATGTAGCAGTCCTCTTCCAACAAACTCGGACTTGAGTCACTTTCTGATAAAGTTACTGTCTTATAAGAACGTGCAATCATGAGCCTTGAGGACCTAGTTCTTAGAATAGTTAAGCAGCTACGTTGAGACCTGGTTCTTGATAGCATTTCCTTGAACAAACTTTGTTAATCATCAAAATCTCAATACTCAACAATTTGCTTAGAGTCGAGGGTCTATAGAAACCAGCCTCCCTACCTGCATAAGGTGGAGTATGGCTATGTATTCACTACTTATGTTAAAAAAATAAACTACCTTTATAATTTAATAGTTTACTAGGTGTATATATATTATATTGTTAATGTAACCATCATTAACCAGGCGAAACAATTTTTATCTTCAACTTTAGCTATCAAAAAGTGTACTAAAAACAAGTAGGAATTGGAATTGTAACATCTTGAATACCTCGACTCGATTACGTATATTTTTAAATAACTTCTACGACTTTCTCATATTGACTCTAATTAATAATATTTATATCATTGAAATTTGTTTTCTAAACGTGGACAAATTACTTCGATTTGATTCACTGATACTAGTCTTGAAATGAATAAGTTTATATAAACGTATACTCAAAATGTTAAAAATAAATACACTACCAACTCTAATAAGTTTATATGAACGTATACTATTAAAATAGAGTAAAGAGTAGTTAGTTTGTTATATTAGCTAATTATTGTTGGTGTAGTTAGTTAAGGCTGTTAGTAAATTGGTTAGTGAGCAGCACATGATATGCACGTGATCCTACCAAGTGTATATGTATGAAAGTCTGTGACTTGTGCATTTTGTAAAGCAAGAAAGAAAAATCAGATCTTCTTTCTCATACTTCCTTCTCTCTAGATTCTAGAACATTCTTCTTCTATAGATGAATCCTAGCTTCCTATTTCTGTTAATTGACTGAGACTCACAAAGTTGATCCTCAATTTAACATGGTATCAGAGCAGCGATCGTGAGGCGTGAATTCCGGCATAAAGCTCCGGTTGAATAAGAACAATTTCGAGCTGAAAGAGGCGGACATGGCGGAAAATGAAGTAAGTTCACTTGATCACAATCATCCACTATACCTTCAAGCTGGAGACACTCCAGGGTTGGTTTTAATTCCAATCAAGCTCACGGGGCCAGAAATTATGCCCTATGGAGCAGAGCAATGAAATTGGCCTTGCGAGGAAAGAGCAAACTAGATTTTGTGGATGGATCGTGTGTAAAGGCTAGGTACAGAAGGGAATTGGTTGAACAATGGGAAAAATACAACGCAATAGTGTTGTCATAGATAGGAAGCACAGTTTCGAATGAATTAATGCCAAGTATTGTCTATGCATCATATGCAAGGAAAGTGTGGAATGATTTTCAGGAGAGATTTGATTGCTCAAACTTGACGAGAATTTACCATCTCTGGAC